ATAAGGTCAAGCCTAATTATGCTTAAGAGGACTGTGCCCTCTAAGCTGGGACTTGTTTGTGACTTTGCCAACGGGTCAGTCCGAGGTTTAACCCTATAGCGGCTCCCCACAATTTCAGAGAGGAAGGGAGAGGGAGAGAGATAGAAACATCAGTGATGAGAGAAAATCATTGATCGGCTGCCGCCTGCACGCCCCCTACTGGGGATCGAGCCCACAATCTGGGCATGTGCCCCTGACTGGACTTGAACCCAGGACCCTTCAGTCCGCAGGCCGACACTCTTTCCACTGAGCCAGACTGGCCAGGGCAGGACCTGGTTGTTCTGTTCCTGTTGGCACTGGGGGGCCACGGCAGGTTCTGAGCAAGGGAGGGGCAGGGGCAGATCTGCACTTTAGAAACATTCTTCCCGAGGGACTGGGGGCAGATCGATGGGGCCTGGCCAGGGCTGGACGAGAGAGAGGGAAGGGAAGGTGGCAGGTTCTGAGCAAGGGAGGGGCAGGGGCAGATTTGCATTTTAGAAACATTCTTCCCGAGGGACTGGGGGCAGGATAGATGGAGCCTGGCCAGGGCTGGACGAGAGAGAGGGAAGGGAAGGGTTGGGAAGGTGGGAGGTAGAGGCAAGGGCTGACTTGTTGCCTGGGTGGGGGCAGGAGCTGAGGATGATGCTCAGATTTCCAGCTTGCGGCGAGAGGGGAAGTGCCCCGGAGGCTCTCGCCTTTATCGGTCAGCATTCCCTTCCCTTCCTCAGCGTGAAACTGGCCCGGAGCTCAGTCTGATCCCCGGGGATTACTCTTCTATCCAGGAAACCAGGTCAGGCCTGGCCGGCTGGCCCGGCCTCGGGGAGCACAAAAGCCCATTCCCCCACCCCAGGGCCCATCAGAAGCAAGTCCCACCGGAAGGTTCCTTCTGCTTCCATTCCTCTGTCCCATGCTGTCTTCCCTCCCGGCTGCCTTCCTCCTCTCCTCCCCACTTCCCCATCTACCAGCACCTCACTTTCTTAATGTGTGCTACTCTTGTTTATTTTTTATTGATTTCAGAGAGAGGAAGGAAGAGGGAGAAAGGGATGGAAACATCAATGATGAGAGAGAATCATTGATTAGCTGCCTTCTGCACGCCCCCTACTGGGGATCGAGCCCAAAACCCGGGCACATGCCCTGACTGGGAATTGAACCATGACCTGCTAGTTCATGGGTCAACGCTCAACCACCGAGCCACACCGGCCAGGCACCACCTCACTTTCTCTTACCTGGAATACCCCGCCCTCCCCATCCTCCTCCTCCTTCCGATTGGCTTAGTAGGATGTCCTTTCTCCACGAAGCCCTCTCTGACTTCCAGGCTGGGCCTGGCCTCCTCTTCTGGGCTCTCCCGTCCCAGGCCTGCCACTCGTGTGGTCATTGTCCAGGGACAGGTCTGTGTCCCCATCACTGAACTGTGAGCCTTGAGAGGGCAGGGCCAGAGCTGTCTTGGTCTCTGCTGTGTCCCCAGCACAACGGGTGGGAGCTGTGAGCCCAGTGAGGGAGGCGACCACAGTGGTTCAGGCAGGAGGTGATGGCAATGACTGCGGGGGTGGGAGGTGGGGAGTCAGATTGCAGATCGACTTTGGAGCAGAGCCGATGGCCTCCTGATGGCTTAGACCAGTGGTTCTCAACCTTGGCTGCACATTAGAATCACCTGGGAATCTTTTTAAAACCCTGATTTCTGGGCCTCATCCTCCGGAAATTCTGTTTCTTTGTTACTAATGTTGTGGCCTCACCCCATAACAAAGAAACAGAATTTCTGGAGGATGAGGCCCAGAAATCAGGGTTTTAAAATGATTCCCAGGTGATTCTAATGTGCAGCCAAGGTTGAGAACCACTGGGATAAGGGCTACTGAGAAACAAGCAATTAACCCAAACTTAATGAGCTCTAAGCTGAACTTAAAAATCCTAAACTAGAAATGGTGTTGGTTCTGAGCACACGCGGGCAGGCTGGGTGTATTTTGGACTCAGGTGCCTGGGTTTTAGGCTTGGGCTGTAGGTGGCTGGTCCCGTTCACTAAGGGGGTGGGGACTGGTGAGGGGCATGGTCATCATGGGCACCCAGCATTCTCACCCGCCTCCGGTAGGTTTCACCATCATCATCGAGCCCTTTGACGACAGGACCCCAACCATTGCCAACCCCATCCTGCACTTCAGGTGAGCCCTAAGCCCAGCGGGGGTGTGAATGGACTGTGGGGCCTCAGTCCCCTGGCCTGGCCTTCACCACCCTCGTCTGCTTCCCACAGCTGCATGGACGCCTCGCTGGCCATCAAACCCGTCTTCGAGCGCTTCCAGTCTGTCATCATCACATCTGGGGTGAGGACCTTCTCTGTCCTGCCCTCCCCTTGGGGGCTCCTGGTTCTGCCCAGTCCTGCTAAGATCCCTCCTGTTGTCCCCACCACAGACGCTGTCCCCACTGGACATCTACCCCAAGATCCTGGACTTCCACCCTGTCACCATGGCAACCTTCACCATGACACTGGCCCGGGTCTGCCTGTGCCCCATGGTACGTGGGAAAGGGGTGGGTGACTTTCCTCCCTCTGCTCCCTCCGCTGATCAGGCAGGAGAGCTGTACAGCTCAAGGCACAGATCCTGGGTTCAGACAGACCGGGGCACTCCCTGTGGGCCTGCTCTCCCAGTCTCCGCTTTCTCATCTGCAAATGGGAATGCCTCCTCCGTGATCTCCAAGGCGGTGGAGGGGAGACTGAGCTGTGGGTGTAAAATGTGGCCCAGGCCAGGCTTTTGGTTAACATGGTTTTGCCTGGTTCATTGTCTGGCTGTGACCTTGGCAAGTGACCCTTCTGCTCTGAGTCAGTCCCCTCTGTAAATTGGGCAGCACAACACGAACCCTGGGTCCTTCGTCTGAAGCTCTTGGGCCAGGGGTGTTTGAGAATTTCCCCGACTTTAGAAACAAGGCGTGTGTGTGTGTGCTGTGTCAGACCCACAGGGTCTGAGCAGCATCCTCAGCAATTAAATATTTTATTTTTTAAAATGTTTTTATTGATTTTTTTTTTTTTTTAGAGAAAGAAAGGAAGAGAGAGAGAGAAACATTGATGAGAGAGAAACAATGATCGGCTGCCTCCCAAACGCCCCCTACTGGGGACAGAGCCCACAACCGGTGCATGTGCCCTGATCGGGAGTTGAACAGTGACCTCTTGGTGCATGGGACGGTGCTCAGTCTACTGAGCAATACCGGCTGGGCAGCAGTGAAACATTTTAAAGAGTCAAAAAGGGAGATCAGCCAGGACTTTGGACTCAGGGCTGGGCAGGTTTCGCTCCTCCATTAGTTTGTGACAGACTTCCCAGAGTGCTGCGGCTTGGGGAATGGCTTTTCCAGTGCTGCCCATGCACTGCACACGGTTTTGTGAGGGGCTGGTGGGGGTGCCCCAGTGGCTGTCAAGGTCACGGTGAGAAGCGTTCTCCTGGAACCGCCTGGCGGGAGCGTGCTTGCTGGTTGGGAACATGGGCAGACTTGGGTTCAGTTCCGTCTCTGCTGTTTATTTGCCATGTGACCTTGTGCAGGCGACTCACCTTTTCTGCGCCTTCGGTGATTTTTCCGTGCAGTACTGATAACGGGGTAGTTCCTTCCATGACACCGTGTCTATAAAAAGCTTAGAACAGCCCTAGCTGGCAACCAGACCCGCACATCACGGTGGGCGCTGCTGCTTCACTTATTGTGATGTCTCCTGCTCTCCTCAGATCATCGGCCGTGGCAACGATCAGGTGGCCATCAGCTCCAAATTCGAGACCCGGGAAGATATTGGTATGCTGCCCGTGGGAGCTCATGGCGGGGCTTGTTTGGGTTCCGAGAGGGGAGGTTTAGCAGTCAGTATGGCCTGTCTTGCTGTGGTAACAAATACTCCCACGTCAAAGTGGCTCCCCATAGAGGTTGCTTCTTGCCCCTGGTCCGTGCATTGTGGATTGCGGGGGCCTGCCCAGTGTCACCTCTGGGAACCTCCACCGTTGGGCACGTCACAGCTGTGGTGAGACGTGACAGGAGGGACCGTGGTGAATGGCACACTGTCTACGGAGGTGCCCACCTGGGAGTGGCACACAGCCACTTCCCTCATTTCATTGGCCATGGCAAGTCACATGGCCAGTCCTCCCACCGGCCTGCAAGGAGAAGTGGAATGTGTGTGTGAACAGCCCTACAGATGGCTCACTGGGGCCTCTGTGAGCCCCAAGTTCAAGACCAGGCATTAGACAGGAATGCTGACAGGGAGTGGGAAAGAGGGTCCAGGCCAGCGGAAGGTGCAACCTCTGACCCCTCCCAGCCGTGATCCGGAACTACGGGAACCTCCTGCTGGAGATGTCTGCCGTGGTCCCCGATGGCATTGTGGCCTTCTTCACCAGCTACCAGTACATGGAGAGCACCGTGGCCTCCTGGTACGAGCAGGTACGCCCGCCGTCCCTGCTCGCCACACCCAGGAAGGCCCTGGCTTCTCAGATCTTGGCTCTGCCCGTCTGTGTCATAGGGGACAGGAGAGTGTATAGGACACGTATGAGCAGTTTAAAGAACAAATAGTGTACACCCGGGGCCCTTCCCCCACCTCCGGGCTAAGAACTAGCATTACAGCCTCTGGGCCCTCAAAGGCCTACCCCTCAGGAAGGAACCACACCCTGCCCCCCTGGTCCTGGTTCCCTTGCTGGTCTTTTGGGGTGACCACCATGCCTGTGCCCCTCAGCGCATGTGGCTTGACCTGGGTAGCAGCAAGACTCTCACTGGGTGCTGTGCTGTAGGAGGAAGGTTCTGGAGAACTAGACTGGACAGAAACTCGGGCAGAGAGTTCACTGGGGGGTGTGGGCGAGGTCACGGGCTTTCTGGACACGGAGCCGGGACTGGGGGAGGCAGGATGCAGGGAGGGCAGGGGCTGCTCTGTCCTCTCTGCTTCTGAGCGCCCCTGGCCCAGCTCTCAGCGGGAGGTGAGATACGGACTTGGCGAATCCGAACACCAGGGAGTGGTGGGGTGGGGAGCTCACCCACTCATGGCCAAGACCTTGGTTCTGTCCTCAGGCTCTTTCCACACAGGGGAGGGGCTGCTGGCCCCCGAGCCCCACACCCTGAGTGCCAGCTGTGTCCTATTTAAGAAACCTTCGCCTGCCCAGGAGATGGTAGTCTCCTGTGTTTCCTAGGGAAGCCCTGTAGCTTTAGCTTTCACATCGAGTCTGTGAGCACCTAGGTTCCTCTTGGTGTATGGTGAGAGGCTGGGGTCAAGGTTCCAGTTTTCCCACATGGAAATCCGGCTGCCCCAGCTCCTCCCCTCTGAGGGTTCCAGGTGACCATCTGTGGGGGGATGTTTCTCAGCCCTCTGTCCTGTCCCCTTGTCTCTGTGTCTGTCCTGGCCACAGGTCTCTATTACAATGTCTGTCACATGTGAAATCTTGTCTCCACAGTCAGTGGCTGGGCGGGGAGGGTCCCGACTGGCTGTCTTGGGCCACATGCCTGCCCCACTTGTTCAAAAGTTGGGTGTGGGGACGGTTCCCTGCCAGGATCACAGGTTTCCTGAAAGGAGGCCGCGGTGCCACCGCCCTCCCTGCTGGGTCTCCACGGGGGAGAGAAGTGGTCTGTAACCCGGGAAGCCCGGGCAGAGCCGAGCTTAGCAGGGACATCCCAGAGCGTGACCCTCCTGCCGGCCACACTGACCCGCGTGTCCTTCAGGGCATCCTCGAGAACATCCAGAGGAACAAGCTGCTCTTCATTGAGACCCAAGACGGGGCTGAGACCAGTGTGGCCCTGGAGAAGTACCAGGAGGTGAGGCTGGGCCGGGGGAGAAGCTCTGAGGGGCCGTGCGTCTGTCTTGGCCTCCCCTCCGCAGGCCTGCGAGAACGGCCGTGGGGCCATCCTGCTCTCAGTGGCTCGAGGCAAAGTGTCCGAGGGAATCGACTTTGGTGAGTAGACTAGGCTCTCCCCTCCCCCGCAGCCTTCCTGGAGTCCTGGCCATTTCTGCTGCCCCAGGGGATGCCCACAGCCTGGGCACGCCCAGGGCCTCCCTTCCCTCCGTCCCTGGGTGCCCGTGGGGCCCTCGGAGCACCCCCACGCCTCCCACTCCTGGGCTGCCTGAGGGTGGCTCTCTCCAGCTGGTCTCCGGGGTAACCCCTCTCGCTGCCGCCCCACACAGTGCACCACTTCGGGCGGGCCGTCATCATGTTTGGCGTCCCCTACGTCTACACGCAGAGCCGCATCCTCAAGGTGAGCAGTGCCTGGGGTCGCAGGATGTTAGGGCACCTTTTGGGTGCTCCCCCAGGATTTGCACGGGGAAGGGGCTGCTGCAGAGGGACAGGCGTTAGGGACCGGCCCCATCTCACCGCAGGCGCGGCTGGAATACCTGCGGGATCAGTTCCAGATCCGAGAGAACGACTTCCTCACCTTCGACGCCATGCGCCACGCGGCCCAGTGTGTGGGTCGGGCCATCAGGGGCAAGACCGACTACGGCCTCATGGTCTTCGCTGACAAGGTGGGGGTCGGCCCGCCCAGCCTGGCTGTTCCCCTCATCATCGTCCCAGGGTCCTGACACCTTCCCCTCTCTCCCGCCTCCTGCTCAAAGCGGTTTGCCCGGGCGGACAAGCGGGGGAAGCTGCCTCGCTGGATCCAGGAGCACCTCACGGACGCCAACCTCAACCTGACCGTGGACGAGGGGGTCCAGGTGGCCAAGTACTTCCTGAGGCAGATGGCACAGCCGTTCCACAGGGTGAGCTGGAGGGGCCCGCCCTGCTTCCCTTTAGCCTCCCACGCGAAGCTGCTTGGGAAGGTCTCGCTTCCTCCCCACGCCCTCACCCAGCCTGCCCGCGACAAAGGGAGGTCTGTGTGCGCCCACACGCCCGGCCTGGGAACTGCTGGGAGTCCAGGGCTCAGACGCCAGCGTGTGTCCACGGTAGACAGGCAGGTGCCTGAGCCCCTGGCCTCACCCTCCCGTCCTTGCCTGCCAGGAGGATCAGCTGGGCCTGTCCCTGCTTAGCCTGGAGCAGCTGGAGTCCGAGGAGACGCTGCGGCGGATCGAGCAGATTGCACAGCAGCTGTAGCGCACGGTGGGGCAGGGCCATAAAAGGAGTTCCTGCGACTGCGAGTGTTGCCTGGCCCTGGGTCCCGGGGCTTGGAGGGGCCTCCGGGAGGCGTGGGAAGGCCTGTGCAGGATGGAGACCTCAAGCAGACATTCTTGGCGGCCAGATCGACAAACTTTAATAGCAGAGGAGAGGGCAGCCCAGTACACGGGGTGTCCCCAGGGCGCCAGGCAAGGAGATGAAAGGACTCCCCTCTGGTGGAAGCTGCAGGCACGTGGTCCTGTGGACTTTAGCGGGGGCCCAGGTCCTGGGTGCTGGCGCTGAGGGTCCGAGAGGCCTCACTCAGGTGCTGGTTGGGGAACTGGGGACAGGCACAAGGGGTGGCTGACGGGAAGGCGAGGGCAGGACACACCTGCTCCAGCTGCACTAGAGCTACCCGACCCTGACTGCCAGCCTGTCCACTGCAGCGGCTGTACTGCTCATTCTCCTGTACCTCATGTCCATCCCCTACCTGACCCCCAAGTAAAGCCCATCCATCCATTCTGTCCTCTGGTCCATTCCCACCTACCACCCCTGGCTCCCAACGCCAGCCTGGCCCCCCATTCCGTCCTTGACCAGGTGCCCCTGTCTCCCCTCACCTGGGCCCCAGTAGCCCTGGCTCCACCCACGTGCAGCGTGCTGAGGGACACGGCTCTCTTCATCCTGCAGAGGGAGCGAGTGAGTCTGGGAGGGCCTGGCTCCCGCCCTGGGAAGACCTCTCCAGCACCGGGTGTGACTGTATGTCAAGGGGAGATGGGAGCCATGGAAGGTTCTTGAGCAGGACAGGGGGAGCTGCAGCTATCAGGGCTCTTCACTGACCTGATCCAACACTCACCCGGCTGCTCCCGCCGCCCCCTCGCCTCTGAGACGGGAGACCAGCTTCTCGCTTCCACGCCGGATAGACTCACGGAGCTTGGAGAACGAGCTGCTCCGGCGAAGGGTCTGGGGGGGCACCAGGGACACGTCAGTCCCCACGTCCCATCCAGCCCCACTCCCACCCGGGAGCCGAAGCAAAGCCCGTCCTCACCTGTTGTTCTGCGTCACCAGCCCTGCCTGTGCTGGGGGCTCCTGGGGAACAGACGGGGGCATTGTGGTGGGGACACTGAGAAGCCCTGTGGGGGGCAGGGGGGGCGGGGGCTCACCGAGGGGGGCGGGCAGGTCTCTGCCTGTGCTGGGGGCTCCTGGGGAACAGACGGTGGCATTGTGGTGGGGACATTGAGAAGCCCTGTGGGGGGCAGCGGGGACGGGGGCTCACCGAGGGGGGCGGGCAGGTCCTCCGTGCTGAGGATTTCTTTGTATAGCTCTTCCGCTTGCTGGTACTTGTTCTGCTTCAGGTAGGCTGAGGCCTGCGGGGGGCGTGGCCAGGTGATCTCGGCTCCGGGAGCTCCCGCACTGGACCAGGCACAGCCCGGCCGCTCCCACCCAGGCCTCGCCTACAGCGGAGCTCACAGCCCCACCACTTCCTGCCTCAGTGACCAGGGCAGGGGGCCTCCTGGCTCAGCCTGTTCCCTGCTCTCCTTTGTGCCTCTGTTTCCTCATCTGCAAAATGGGGCCACAAGAACACCTACCTCCCAGAGTCCTTTGAGAAATGGGTGGTGCGGCCCTGGCTGGTGTGCTCAGTGGTTAGAACACCAGCCCATGCACCGAAAGGTCCGGGTTCAATTCCCGGTGAAGGGCACGTGCTTGTGTTGCAGATTTGATGCCTATGTGTCTCTCACATTGATCTTTCTTTCTCTCTCTTCCCCCCTCCCTCTCCACTCTCTTAAAAAAACACACACAAAAAAAACAATGGAAAATATGTCCTCAGGTGAGGATTAACAAACAGCAGCAAATGGATGGTGCAGGGGAAGCACTAAAGGATCCATGCTTAATAAACGCCTGATGCTGTCCCCGCTCTCGGCCCGTCTCCAGCTTCTTTCCCTGGGCTGCTCCCTGGCACCAGACCTGCGTTCCTGCCGCTTACGGTCCCACCAGCCCGGGCCCAGCTGGGGTCTCAGGAGCCCCTTCTCCACGGGCCTGGCGAGGGGGCTCCTGGCCTCTGGGGATCCAAGCTTAATAAACGCCTGATGCTGTCCCCGCTCTCGGCTGTCTCCAGCTTCTTTCCCGGGGCCTGTTCCCTGGCACCAGACCTGCGTTCCTGCCGCTTCCGGTCCCACCAGCCCGGGCCCAGCTGGGGTCTCCGGGAGCCCCTTCTCCACGGGCCTGGCGAGGGGGCTCCTGGCCTCTGCCTCCCACCCCGCACGTGCCTGGTCCCCGCCCAGGGCCTCACCAGGTTGTTCTTGGTCTTGGCCACGTTGGGGTCGTGGGGCCCGCCCAGGGCCTCGTAGATGCTCAGGGCCCGGGCGTAGTGCCGCTCCACCTCCTCGAACTTGCCCTGGTTCTGGCACAGCAGCGCCAGGTTGTTGAGCTGCTTGGCCACGTCCGGGTGGTCGGCGCCCAGGACCTAGGGGTCATCCGGGATGGGCAGGCCGCGTGACGCCAGCAGCCATCACCGGGGTCACGCGTTGGGGGTTACAGCATCCAAGTGGAGAATCGCACGGGGTTGGGCAGAAGTTACACCAAACTGGAGCTTCATCGGGTCAGAGGTCATGGTGGTCCAGAAACCACCTGGACCTTGGGATGCAGGTTCAAATTACTCTATCAAGGAGGGGTTGTACCAGGTTGGGGCACAGAGGTGAGTTAGGAGAGGTCAGAGTCAGGAGTCAAGGTCAAATGGAGGTCAAGCATGGTGGCTCCTGGGAATGGGTGCTCTAGGCTTAAACTGTTAGCTCACAACACCCAGTGAGACGGGCATAAAAGGTCAGGGCTCACAGGTTTGGGGCCACAGAGCCACAGAATTGAACATTTCAGGATCAAACGGGAGGGGCCTCAGGACAGGGCGCTGGGCAGGGCAGGGCAGGACCTTCTCGCGGATCTCCAGGGCGCGCTGGCACAGGGGCTCCGCCTCCCGGTACCGCCCACGCTTTCCATAGAGGACGGCCAGGTTGTTGAGGGTGGCAGCCACCTGTGGGGCCGGGGAGGCAGGTCAGGAGCAGGAAGGCACAGCCCCGACCGACCCTTCCTTCCTCCCGGGCCCCACTCACCGCGGGGTGCTCGGGGCCCAGTGTCTGCTCCCGGATCTGCAGGGCGTCGTGGAGCAGGTCTGTGGCTTCCTTGTACTTGTTCTGGTCCCTGTGGGGCAGCGCAAGGATGGAGGGGTCAGCCAGGGTGGGGGAGCAGGGGCCGGGCTGAACCAGGCACAGTGGCACCCTTTGGGGGTCCCTTCTGGGTCTCCCCACACCTACTAGGTCTAGCACCTCCAGAGCACTGCCCAGCCTCTGGCCACCCCAGGAATCGTCCCCACTCTATAGGGGTCTCTGTCACCCACACTCACTGACTCCTCTTTGCCTGGGTCCACATGGCCTCCGCAGATCTGTCCTCCTCCCCACCACCACTCCAGCGCCCCACGCCGACACCAGGATCCCCGCTTCCACCCTGCCCGCCCCTGCGGCCCCTCCGGCACAGCC